GAATTTCTTGTTTAAACTTCTGCTCTGTTTGCTTTTGTAACCAATTATCTGTTAGGAAAGTATTCTGTGTTTTTTGTTTTGGAGAAAAACTTATCAGGACTGTTTTGGAAATAAAAAGAGGTTGGTTTTCCCAGCCTACTGTTTAAGAGGGGTTTGTTCTTGTGACGTAACAAGGACGGACGTAGGCTGGGACAGAACAATAAGTACCTGGTTTGTGTTTACGTTTCCAACATTTCTCTGACATATTTTTAAACATTTTTGCTAATCTTGTTGGTGGCAAGTGCCATCTATAGAACATTTTATATAAGTTTTCTTTATATGAAGCTGACACTGTCAATTTATAGTTTCTTTCCCACAAACTTTGCCACTTCTCTAAGTCTATATTATATCCAAAATTCTTTGCCCATGCTATCATTGTCTCTTTTACTTGTTCATCTTCTATTTTGAAATTTAATAAGAAATTGTACATTTTTTAAATTAACTTTTCATCGGAAGTTAGTAATATCTGATCAAACATAGTCTGCTCTTTATAAAATCCATACTGTTTAATATCTTTGTCATATCTGACTTGCATTTGTAAATGTAACCACCATGTTAAATTGATGCCCTGATTTTCCATCTCTTGCCTGGATTTTAAGTTCCCTTCAGAATTTAGAATATCTTTGTATGTCCATATTTTATCGAGACTGACTAGATTTGGATGTACAAATGCTTCCATTTTTGAAAGCCATCCTGGAATTTTCAAATAAATTTTACATTTTATTTTTTCACAATATTTTTTCACTACATTTTTCTAATGTAGTGGTTTTGGAAGTATTTATGTATTGTATTTTTTCCATACCATAAAAAGGCATGCCAACCAAGTTGCAGGTCATGTCCCTCCAAATACAGCAATCTTTTATTTCTAAGAGTTATCTATTCTTTTATCCATGTTAACACTGATGCTTGATCATATAAAACCCAATCTGGCAAGCCAAAACCTCCATTTCCCTTGGCTTGTAACATTTCCAATTTAATTCTAGTTTTATTTCCTTGCCAGATACATTTTTGAATTAGAGAGTTTAAATCTTAAAAGAATTTTTTCTCCAGTTTTATAGGTATTGTTTGAAACAAAAATAGTATTTTTGGTAATATATTTGTCAACGCTGCAAATACTGTATATTCTTGCTTTGACAATGTGCAGAACTGTCTGGTATATATATAGTTAAACCAGCAACTGGGAAAGAGGGAGGAGCATAAGGATAGCCCGGGAGAAAGAAACCGGAAGTAAATCACATCTTCCAAGTTGATTGGAAGATGTGAACCATGACCCTACAATAAGGGAGTGGAAAATGC